AAAATTAATAAATAACCTTTAGAAAATAGTTTTGTAGGGAAAGGGAGGTGAGGGGAAGTAGAAGAGGAAAAGGGAGGATAAATGATGATGGAAGGAGACTTGACTTGGGATTGTGAACACACAACATACAGATGATATATTATAGAATTGTACACCTGAAACCTATATACATTTATTAACCAATGTCACACCAATAAATTTTAAAATAATAAAATAGTTTCGTGTTTTTGACAGAGATCTATGGGATTAAAAACATTTTTTAATCCTCTCTGGAAGACATTTTTTTTATTGATTTTTAGAGAGAGTGGAAGGGAAGGGGAGAGACACACAGAGAGAAACATCAATGTGAATTGGTTGCCTCCCACATGCACCCCAACCAGGGCCAGGGATCAAGACTGCACCCCAGGTACATACCCTCGATGGAAACTGAACCTGGGACCCTTCAGTCCATGGGCCATGTTCTATCCTCTGAGCCAAACTGGTTAGGGCAATCTGCAACATTTGAATTTTGTTCTAGAGACAATAAAAAATAAAGTGGGGAAGAGATTTTTTCTATAAATACTTATTCAGTTGACTCTACGTATTGAAAGCCAATACATTGCAATTACACTGTTTTGACTATGTAAAGAGTACTCACTGTTGAACAAAATGCATCAGTTGGCATAAAAAAAGGTAATTCTATTTTGCTAACTTTGTGCCAATAGATAAGGATGTTCCAAACATCAAGCTCAAATAATGACATTTCCCAACACTTTGTTAATTGTTCAAAATAATACCACATTTGCTCAAGCTGGTTTGGCTCAGTGGATAGAGCGTCAGCCTGTGGACTGAAAAGTCCCAGTTTTGATTCCGATTAAGGGCATGTACTTTGGTTGCGGGCACATCCCCAGTAGGAGGTGTGCAGGAGGCAGCTGATGGATGTTTCTCTCTCATCGATGTTTCTAACTTTCTATCTCTCTCCCTTCCTCTCTGTAAAAATCAATAAGATATATATTTTAAAATAAATAAATAGTACCACATTTTATTTTGCTTTATATTTGGAACATTGTTTTCTGATGTTTTCAATTGCTTTCCATTTTTCTTCTTAACAAAAGTGTATGCCTTCACCATATGACTAAATTTATCCAGGACCTTAATCCCTGTCTGTTGCATGGAATCAACTTTCTGCTTGAAGACATTCTTGTCCATTCAAAACTAGTTTCTCCCTTGCCCTGCTGTACAGCTGTCATTCTAGGCCATGGATGGGGAATGTCCCGCCCACAGGCAAGGCCCTCAAAATCATTTGGTCTGGCCCTGCCAGGGCATTAGGGGTGAGTTAATTAAATGTTTGACTGGTGACCTTCTGGTGTTTGGGACGATGCTCAACCAACTGAACCACACTGGCTAGGGTCAAAATATTGGTTATTTAACTTAAAATTACCAATAATGCAAGTTTCTGAGCCTTAGCTGGTTTGGCTCAGTGGACAGAGCATCAGCCTGTGGACTGAAGGGTCCCAGGTTTGATTCCAGTCAAGGACATGTACCTTAGTTTTGCAGGCTTCTTCCTGGCAGGGCCTGGCAGGAATGTGAGAGAACCAATTGATGTGCTTCTCTCACATTATATTTCTCTCTGTCTTTACCTCTCTCCCTAAAAATCAATAGAAAAATATCCTACTTGTGATGATTAAAAAAATTAATTAATTAATAATAATACTGCAAGTGTTTGCTCTTTAATCTGCAAAGGATATACAGATGCTGTTGGTTAGAGGATTAGTAAAAAAATATATTAAGATCAATGTGTTGAAAAATACATTTTCTGTGGAGAGACATCTGTATTCATGACTGTGTTTCTCAGGTACAATAACATGCCTACATAATCATAGCTGCTACTTGTGAGGAAGGACAGATTTAAAAAATTTTTTTTATTGATTTCAGAGAGGAAGGGAAAAGGGAGAGAGAATCATTGATTGGCTTCTTTCTGCACACCCCTACTGGGGATCAAGCCCACAACCGGAATTGAACCTGGGACCCTTGGTCAAAATTGAACCTGGGACCCTTCAATCCACAGGCGGGGACTTTATCCACTCAGCCAAACTGGCTAGAGCTCTAAGGACATCTTAATATCTATTTTCTGAGAGAAATAATAGCCTTTAGTGATTCAGTACCATAGTCTCAGTTATAATACCAGGTAAGAAATAAGATGCTGCTATAAGAACTGAAATTTTTTTCTTTACATGAGAGTTTGAACTTCAGGAATAAACTAAGAGTTTTAGCAAAGTAAGAGTCCAAATATCTTATTTGTGCCCATAGAAAGTAGAAAATGTATTCTGCTTGCTGGAGAGTACACTCAATCACTGGCCAACAACAGTTCCTTTCATTCAGCCTCCTCAGTGTTGTGAAATCTCCCCAGAGCTCTGCCATCATTCACTGCGGAGGTAGTGGAGATGGGCAAAGAAAGAAATGATACTAAGCAAGTGGTACAGGGCCTAGGACTTCAGTATGTATGATATAAATGACTGTTACTATTATTACAGTGAGATTCATAGGTACCCTCCACAGGTAGGATAGCCAGATTTAGCAAATAAACATATAGGATATCAAATTAAATTAGAATTTGAGATGGACAAGAATATTTTTTTTAGTCTAAGTATGTGCCTGATATTGCATGAAATATACCTACACTAAAATTTATATTAAATTCCACTATCTACTTGGCAAAATCATTTCTCTTTTAGTGGAGGAGGCCTCTCACAGGTAATGGCTGAGAGAGAAGGTGCAGAGGAGAGAGTCACAAAGGATTTTACTTCTTAACAATGCCAGATGTGTCCCTGATTAACAGCCTAATGCACTAACCAGCTGGGCCACAGAGGCCACAATCATTTCTCTCTGAAAAGGGAGATTTAGGTATAGTGAAATAAACCTGTAGGGGATAAAGCTCTGATTAAATGTTATATTAAATCTGCTCAGACTTCAGAGTCCACTATCCCCTGATAAGTTCGGTATTTTCTCTTCAGGTATCAGATATCAGACACAAACAGTTCCCATGTTTTGGAGTAGGATATAAAATTTTCTCCAAACTGAAAACTGTTGGATCTAGTTACTATAGTAAGTTAGACACGGGTTTTGAAATTACTGAATTATACTTTTAGTTAAATCCTTATTTGGAAAATCACAAATCATTAAATAATGAATCATATTAATCGCCACTAAAATATGCAAATTACAAATGTCTGACAGTATTCAATATCTTTGAAACACTATTTCATTTCTTACCATGCTTTCTTTGTGTGTGCATAGTAATTATTTCTCATTGTGTTTATTAGCGCATACCCCTCCCCCCAAATAAATAAAGCAGATGGGTTTTGTATTTTATTCCAGACTCTGCATCTTCCGGTTTACCAAAAACTAAAAGACCTATTATCAACTGTGTCAATATTAGCTTTCTTCTCATTTCATGCCAGTTTTTCCAAAATGCTTCTACAAATCTTTTGATGTCACTGGCTAAAAAGTAACTGGGTTTTGGTTATTCCCAAAGTCATAATTATAAATTTAGCTCTTCTAATTCCGGGAAGTGTGTGTGTGTGTGTGTGTGTGTGTGTGTGTGTGTGTAGGGGGGCGGGGGAGAATCACTTTATAACACTGTATTCTATCTCTTTTCCATTTGTGGGAGACGTAATTCCCAATTCCTAGTTTTGATAAGCAAAGCGAGGAAAGGAGAAATGTCAGACATCCTTTAGCATTTGGCAGGCTGTGCACGTTTCTAGATGGATGACAATGCACCATTCCAAACATTACGATGCGCGCTACCTTTCTTTATTCGTACTTTTTAATTTGCTAGTATTGAAAAACAAAACACAGAGGCAGCGCTGCATTTCCTTTTCCAGAAACCTGCCCCTTCTGCCCACACTCCTGAAGACGGTTCACCCTGTCCCAGCAGCCGCAGGGCACGGTACTCGTCAGCTCCCCCTCGTGACGGAAAAGGTGGACTGCACCCGCAACCCCGCCCGCCGGGAGCGTCCACGACCCGTGGAAAACCGGGGAAGCCGGGCGCGTTCCTTAGGCATCGACACTGAACGGAGAAGGGGCGTCTCATGTCTGAGAAAAGGCAAAGGAGTTGTGGTTGGCGGGCACCTCGGGGAAAGTAGGTCCTGCGTGCTGACTTCCGTGACCAATCTGGAGGAAAACGAAAACTGCACTCCGTTTGATGAAGGCTGGCAGAGTTAGAATGAAATCCCCGTCCGCCCGTCGGAAGAGCCGAAGACGGCCCTTCTGGGAGCATCACGGTCCATGCACAATACACTGTGCAGGCAGCCTGTCTGAGGCACGTCACAGAGCTCAGAGGAGAGCGCCTGGAGACGGCGGAGAGCTCCGCACCGGGCAGCGCAGGGCTGAGTCCCGCTGGGCGAGGCGTCCCAGGCCATTTCCGCGCCGCCGCAGGCGAGATGCCGCGACGACGGCCGCCCCAGCGCCTCCCCCGACTCCTCCTCCCGAGAAACGGGCGAGTGGGGGACGCCGCCTTTGGCTCCTTAGTATGCATTTGCTTCTTAGTGAGCCTTCGAGATTTGTAAAGGCGCTTTGCGGAGTTCCTCCATTCACCGGCCCGAGCGTTCCCGAGCCAGGCCCGGAACCAGAGGGGGCGGGGCTAGAGCGACGTAGGCGGGGCTAGAGCGGCGTGGGCGGGGCGTCCTCGCCGCCTGGGCCAGCGCCAGCCGCGGGCGGGGAAGGCGGCGGCGGCGGCGGCAGCGGCGGCGCGGGCGCAAGCAGCGCGGGGATTGGCTGCGGCGGGCGGAGACGTCAGGCTCCCGCGGCCTCAGCGGCCGCCCGGCTCGGCGCGCGGCGCAGTCGGTTCGAGCGCCCGCGGCCAGTGAGGAGGTGTCCTCGGCCGTTCCACCTTCTGCCGCCGCCGCCGCCGCCGCCGCCGCCGCCGGGCTGCGCCGCCGCTCGAGCCGGGACGCGCCTCCGCGCTCCTCGCTGCCTCCACCCCCGCGGCAGCCGCTCCCCTCGCCCTCGGCGCGCACACCATGACGAAGAAAGACAAGAAGTCCTTCCAACAGAGCCTGGCCGAGTGGAAGCTCTTCCTCTACAACCCGACCACCGGAGCGTTCCTGGGGCGCACCGCCAAGAGCTGGGGTGAGCGGAGCGGGCGGCGGTTGGGGCGCCCGAGGCCGGCCGGGCGGCCGCGAGGTGCGGGAGGTGCCGGGCGGGGTCGGATGGGACCGAAGAAGCGGGAGGCGGCTCCCCGAGCACCGGGGGGGCGCCCTGCCCGAGGAGCCGCCTTGGCCGCCCGCCGCGGTTTTCGCCTCGGGCCTCCGGACTCCGAACCGGGCTGAGGCGGGGCGCGCGGCCCATTCATTTCTCGCGGGACCGGGGAGGGCCGGCGCCCCCCGGCCACGGCCGAGCCCCGGGCGCCGCGGGCAGCTCCCGGCCCTCCCGCGCCGGCTTCCTCCTCCCGGCCCGGAGCGCACGTGCCGCCGGGCCTGCCGCCGCCAGCGCCGCCGGAAGCCAGGACCCCAGCCCGCGGCCCGGGGCTCGGAGCCCGGAGCCCGGGGCGTGCGGGGGGCCGAGGCCGGGCCTCCCTCCTCCTTTGTACGGAGCGCGCCGCCGCCGGCCCGGAGAGGCCCTGGAGGAGGCGCCAGCGGCGCCGAGCGAGCGGTTCGGGGAAGCCAGCCCCTGCCCCGCGCCCGCCGAGAGGAAATTTCCACTCCCGCCGCGCTCTTGTGACTCCGCCGCCTCCCCGGCCCCGAGCGCGAGGGAGTGCTCGGCGTGTGGGTTGTTGCATGAACGCCGCGGTGAGTTCATCCCTCAAGTGCATCGTCCGCGGAAATGCACTTGAATTTGGGCGGTGAAAAGACACTTCTTCTTCTTCTTCTTTTTTTTTTTTAAACTACAGGGATTTTCTTAGGGGGAAAAAAAAAAAACTTTCTTTGGGGGGGGGGAGTAAATCTTATCTGAATGACACAATGTTTTTTGTTTTTGTTTTTTTTTCTGTGCCTTCAAAACGTGTGATGAGTGTGTATAGGTTAGCCGTTTTTCTAGGCATGAGTTCTTTGTTTTAAAAGAAATATTTAAGCCGTCCACCAGCGCCGTGCTGTTCTAGGGTGCCTCTGCCTCTTTCCCCCCTCCCGCCCCCCGAAAAATTAAATCAAGCAAACGAATTATACTCTTTGTGGGCCTTTTGGAAAATATTTTGTAAGTGGTTCTTGACAGATGTTTTTTGTGTGTGGTTTTTTTGTGTGTTTTTTTTCTGAGTGAGAATAAATTTCTAGAGTTGAGAATTATTTGGGCCCCCTTTTTTTTTTTTTTTTTTTTTTTTTTTAAGAGAAGCATGAAGAGAGGAGGAAATCAGGCATGGCTTAGAAAATAAACTGTTGCTGCTGACTGCGATCGGCGCCTCCAGAGTGGATGGGAAAGATGGCTTAGGTCCTATCACCAGCCGAAAGGGGCCTGGGAGGCTTTTTTAGCCCAACCCCCACGTTAGAGGAGAGGGAGGGGAAAAAAAGAGAGAGATCTGGAGAGGTTGTGATTGTGCTTTGTGTAAAATTACATATTCCACCGAGCCAAGAAAAGAACCCAATTCTCCTTTAATCCTAGTCCAGCGGTTGTATTATTTTACAGATGCCTTGCCTAACTGCATGGTGATCACTCACAACTTTTATTTTAAATGGCTGTCTTTTGGGAACCCACTAGTGTTATGAGGACATATATCTTGCATCTAGAGTTAAATGGGGGCGGGGAAGTGGACAATTATTGTTTCTGTAGAGTCTAGTAACACTTGCTGAAGGAATTTTTGAGAGGGATTCGTTTCTGTAGATTAACTTCCTTCCTCCTGTCCTCACATCTTCCCATTTCCAGTGGTAAGTATCTTCACTTTAATGTTAGCATGACTTTTCTTCTCCTTATGTCTAACCTTTGTATTATTAGATGCTGGGTAGAGAGTTATTTGTATATGCATTTAAATAGATGGCATGAACAAATTATTCAAAAGATAGGGCATTCTATAAGGGCAGTACAAGTCAAGTTGGGGTTAGTTTTAACAGGATGAGGGCATGACCTTTTTTCAAAATTGAAAATATAAGTATTATGTTGGTCAAGCAAATTTCTGTTTATTGTAGTCATAGTATGCCAGTGCAGAATGGCACAAATAGATGACAATTATCCGTATTATCCAGTTATCTCAATTTAAGGGCAACCCTCCAAGGGGGAGTGGTGTGTGGAGGCTGAAATCCACCCTCAGCTCACCAGGCTGTGTGCCCTGGAGCATGGGTGTCTGCAGAAAGGTGTCTTGTTCTAATGTTCAGAGAAGCATTGTGTGATCCACTGATCTCATCACCCCAGAGATGCCCATTATTAATTAGTATTTAGGTGTGTAACTGGGCAGAGTTGAGAAATTTTTGTAACATTTTTTTTTAACAAAAATACACGATAGTGTTTTATAATCTTTTGAGTCTATTTGTGATCATCTTCCCATGTTAATAAAGATCTTTATCACCATTTTTAATGGCCTATTAGTGTCCTATTGTATAATTCAGGGGTGGGAACCTTTTTTCTGCCAAAGGCCATTGGCTATTTATAACATTTGAGGGCCATACAAAGTTATCAACTTAAAAACTAGCCTGCTATATTTGGTCAAACATTTAATTTAATTTAATTTAATTAAGTCACCCCTAATGCCTTGGCAGGGTTAGACCAAATCATGAGCCTTATACGGCTTTTGTGCTAGACATTCCCCACCCCTGGTATAGTTAGATGTATTGTGATTTTTTTTTAACAAGTTTATTAATAAGCATACATCATGCATGCACAGGAGATACACAGGGGAAAATAAGTGACTCCTGTTTTTTGTTTTTTGTTTTAATTTAAACTAATGCATTAGTGTATGTACTGGTCATTCCTCCTATTCCCTTTATATTTGTGTGTGCATGTTAACAAACTTATTTCCTTGTGATATTTCTGTTGGTGGAATATCTGGGCCAAGTATAATATATGTAACTTTTGCATTTTGGAAACATGTTAAACTTTTAAAAGTAAAAAACTCATTTGTGCAAAATTCTTTCTACTTGCTTTTGAATTTAATGTAACGTGATGGGAGCGCTAACATCTTTTTTTGATCTTCTGTAAAGTTGTTGGGTCTACTGGTGTGTAAAGAAAGGCCTTCTCTACCCCAGGGATTTTATAAAGACATTCATTTAAGATGCTCCTGATTTTATTTTTTTACATGCAGTCTTCAGTGCATTTGTCCTGTAATCTCGTAAGGCCATTAGATGTATTAAAAGCACACATGCTTGCCATTTACATTTTAGATACAGAGAAAATACTGCATATTACATCACATTGCTTTATTTAAAAGTGTTAGATGTAAGGATTTTGAATAACCACTTGAATACCTGACTAATATTTTATACTTGGTTATAGCTATTTATTTTTTAAATATATTTGTATTGATTTCAGAGAGTAAGGGAGAGATAAAAACATCAATAATGAGAGAGACTCATTGATTGGCTGCCTCCTGCATGCCCCCTACTGGGCGTTGCACCCACAACCCAGGCATGTGCCATTGACCAGAATCGAACTGGGGACTTTTTCAGTCTGCAGGCCAACAATCTCTCCCCTGAGCCAAACTGGCTAGTGCAATTACAGCAATTTAAAATGCTTAAATACCTATAGTCACTGTATTTGATATTCACAGCAACCTCCTAAAGCACACAGTGTGGTGATTAAAAGTATGCTTAGAGTGGGGGGATTTGCTGTTTTTTAACAATCGATGCATCTTTATTCACCAGCAGAAGCTGAGGAAAGTGTAACCTGCACATTTGTACAAAGGGGTGGGGGCCTCAGAAAAACGCACACTCAGAAAACAGCCCTCTGTGGTGGGAACACCATAGTGCTGGTTTCTCAGGCAGAAGAGTAAGAACACATCAGGAATAAATAGATGCCACTTTTTTTGTTTGTTTTGTTTTGTTTTTGTTTAGGTGGCACTTTTGTTTTATGAAAACAGAAGAAAGAAAATTTAGCACTTTGTGGCTGATGTTGCTAATAGTAAGCCTAAGTGCATTAAATACAATTAGAATTAAAATAGTAAAAGAGAGCCTGGAACTATTCAGTGTTATTTAAATGGTAGCCAGAGGACCATGTATTGCAATTGGCATTTTTTTAAAATAATAAAAATAGAATGGTAAAAATATCAAAGTTTATTCTACCTAATAAATTCAGTCTGACTATGGAAAGATGCTGTTCAAAGAAACTTTTCTGTATTTTGTATAGATAGATACCCCAATGTAAACTGTATTTCTTATTGTGGCTCAGAGTCAAAAAAGCTTGAAAACCACTAACCTCGCGCTGTACCATCATTTCATAGGTGAGAAACTTGAACCTACAGATCTGACTAGTCAAAATTCACTGAGTTTGTGACAGAATCCAAGGCCAGAAAAACTATGACATTACATGACCTCTTCTACTGACATCTGCTTGTGGGCTTATTTGTAATTCATTAGCTTAAGGTCATTAAGCTTAATAGATGCTTTATATTACTACCAAAGGCCCATTGCATGAAATTCGTGTAAGGGGCTGGGTCCTTGAAGCCCCTGCCTGGCAGTTGTTCTGCTGTTCGGTCTAATTAGTATATTAGCTCTCTGTTATATGGGATTAAGTTAAAACTTGAGTTACTAATGTGCAAGCAGAATAAGATTCTGGACTCAAACTATTTATTACCTATAGTTTGTTCATGTGCCTTCTTTTTTCATGATTATAGAGCAATGAAGTGCCATTATCTCAGTCAGCCGCTCCCATTGTGGTCATGCCTCAGTGAATGCTCTGCTTTGGATATCAGACACCACCTCACCTTGAGTGTCTGACTATAGGGGTCCCCAGAGGCGAGTGTGTTTATTTTCCCAGTATTACATAGTTTTGTGTGGTATTGTTCTTTGTCCCGTGGAATGTGACATATTAAACTTTATAGATCTGTGCACCATTGGGAAAGTAATAGATTTGCCTTACCTTGTGTGCAGCCTATAAATGATGGTCATTGGTGAGTGTGGCAGAGGTAACAGCAGAGGCATGCTAAGCCGTCACCCAGCAGGAGACAGTATTTCCTGGACGGGTATTGGCTAGGGAGGGAAAGGGATAAGTTTTTG